AAGATTGATAGAAGTAGCTAATTGATGTTGTTTAATTGTTCACATTATTTTTTCTTCTCAATATTGAAACAGTAGCTGCATCCTAGTCAGTGATTTGTTTTGAGTGTATATGAAAAACTCTTTAGTGAATAAACTGTGAATATTGTTTTTTTTTAGGGGTAGTTATTTTTTCTTATATTTTAACATGTCTTATTCTTTATTCCCACAGAGCTAGTTGATAAAGATGGAATGTAAAGTTTGGGCCTCCTTTTTTTCTAGGGTGCAGCTAATGAACATTTGTTGATTTTCCTAGAGTGCTTTCTATAAACAACCAAAAAGATAATAACTAAATGTAGCGTGATATGTAACGTGATGGTCTCTGCTGTGTGTGGCAGTGACATGCCCCCATCTCCTTTTCTCCCTAATGTCATCTTCCCTTCTCTGTTCATAACCCATAATGGTAATTAAACTCCTGTGCTAACAGGCACCAAACAAATACCTCTGCTCTCTTGTACTCCTTTTCTACCATCTGCTGATTCATGAACCTGTAATTTTGTTGTGTCTCTAGTGGTTTTAAAACAGAATATCTGCCTACAGAAATGCTATATTGAACCAAATCACAATGTTGATATTATGTTCCATCTTCCAATGGCAAATCATTGCTTGGATAATGTATGTGGATGAATTATATATTATTTTTAATTTGTTGTTTTTGTCTAATTTTGTTAATTTTATGGGGGTCTTGCATTTAAATATTAGATGTTTGGAGCATGAAGCATAAAGTTATTCTAAAATTTCCATTACTAAGTATTACATTTTATTTCATTTGTTCAGGCTTAAGGTTAAAAAGAACTTTGCTACCTGTTTATGAGAGAGTGTCTGATAAGATTTGATTTGAAAAAAGGAAATACAGTAGCTAGCTAAAATTAATTAAATGTTTTCTTAATCGTCCGTTCACTTATAGACCTACATCTAATCTTCCGTTCCTATCTAAAATTCTTCAGAAAATAGTTGCTAAACAAGTGTGTGACCAATTACACCGTAATGAACATTGTGAAGATTTTCAGTCTAGGTTTAGACATCATAGCATTGAAACCGCTCTGATTGAAGTCAGTAATGATATTCTCATGGCCTCAGATAATGGACTTGTATCTGTACTTGTCCTATTACTGTAGATCTCAGTGCTGCATTCGATACAGTCGATCATAATATTCTGGAAAAGCTTGAGCATTTGTAGTAATTAGGGGAACAGCAATAGGCTGGTTTAAATCTTTTTTTATCTTGTATACAAATTTTAGTTTGTTTATACATGCTCCAGGTTACATGTGGACTACCACAGGGATCAGTGCTAGGGCCAATCCTCTTTAGTATGTATGTACTCCCAATCGTGAGAATTATTGGACAGCAAGGGGTTAAAAATGAATAAATAAAAAGCTACACTTTCAAAAAACAGAGTTATCAGAGTAATTTCTTTTTTTCAGCCTCTACAGCTTAAGGATTATTACAACCAGAGGGATCATATAAATAGAACCTCCCCTGCAAAATCTGAAGCAGGATATAATATCGAACTAAAAATACCTTAACACATTCCCTATGAAATGCAAAATGCATGACAGTTTTAGCATATTTAGTTGTAATATTGCATATTTATCTCAGCATATATATATATATATATATTTATATATATATATAATGCTAATTGGAGCATATCTAAATGATGTAGATAACCAAGTAAATTTTTGTATCAGAAAAAAGTTTCAGGTGTTGCCTAGACTGTTAGGAAGGTCATAATGTGTGAATAAAAATTTCTTTTGAAAGGTACACTACCAATTACATCAGGAGTAGATCTAACAGAGCATTTTAAAGAGAAAGTCAAAATTGGCATTAAAAATGTGATGATCTTGATCTTTTTTAGGACCAGGTCGACTTTCACATGAGGCCTGCTTTGTTTGAATAGCTTTTTCCATTGACAGATAAATTAACCTTTTCAAAACTATATATATATTGGTACAAAAACAATGATTTAAAACATCAAAGATAACAAAAAAAAAATGCATCTATCTATCAAAGGATGCATTCATTCTTAAGCCCCTGTATGCTGTTGTAACACTTAAATACTGATCTGAAACCATTTATTTACTTGATTCTTCCCTTTATCCTATTATTTGTGCTATGTTTTTTTAAACCATTTTTCAGCACATACCCATTTCAAGAGTAAATCAACTGAACATTACAAGGAATGTTGAGCTCATGCTCTTTTCATTTCTGCATCGTCTGAAGCACCAGCTCTCATTGCAACTGGTGGCTATGGCAACCATAGGGCCAAAAAAAAAAATAGACGTTGACAGCAGTACCATCATCAATTAATATGTAGTTAGCAGGACTTTTTGAAAATTGTCTAATCTTTATTTTTGTGCAGGTTGTGCTTTTAGTTTCACTTAACCTCTCTGACAAAAGGCAGCCACCGCTTTGGGAACATACAGACAGCAATTGAGGGTGGGGCAGTTGTGTGTCGAACGCCAGCTGCCTGCTCTTGATTTTTTTCCTTTTATAAAGATAGAGAGAAAAGCTGCAAGATTGTAATAGGATTAGTTCCACCTGTTTTTTCTAAGGCAAGTAAAGAGCGAATTTCCAATCATTTTTACATGCACAACATTTCAATTCAGTTTTATCTATATTGCGCTAATTCACAACACATATCTCAATTCTCAAGGACATTTTACAGAGAAAATTTAATCAAATTAACCAACAAGTTAATTACAAATTGAAAAACATTCTTTTCTTTTTTAAATTTCCTATTTTATGGCCTGTTTTTAAGGATCTTATCCAAATTTGGAGCAAAACTAATGATAATCATCTTTTGTAGGTTTATTTACATCTTAATAAATTTAGACTTAAAATTACAATATTGTAAAGATAGATAAGGCAAAGTTTCATTTTTCCTCATGTTCTTCTGATTTCTCTTAGCAACTGTTGCAATGTATAACTAAAATTGTGTTACCATGGTTACTTACTTGAGTCAAAGGCTTGTCCTCAGGGTCGTCAGCTGTTTAAACAGCAGAGCAATTTAAAACCTATATTCTATAGTTTCACTGATTATACTTGTTGATCTTTCAGCAAACCATAATGCTAACTGTTGTCCACAATGTTCTACATGTCTTCTTTATAAAATTATTGCTAGATGTTCTAAAGGAGTTCTTCTTTATTGGCTTGTTGAGCTTCTTTAAGTCATTCTCTCTTATGCCGTTACCCCAGCAGATGATGGCAGAAGAGATCATGCTCTCCACAACAAACTTATAGAAGATATCCAGCATTTGCAAACACTGTAGGACCAAAGCTTCTGGTAAATGGCCTGTACTTACAGTTGTGCTTGCAAGTTTCCAATCAAGTTTGTTGTCCAAGTAAATACTGAGGTATTAATACTCCTTCTTCACCACCACTTCTTCTCACATCTTGTTAATGGCTTTTGACTTGTTCTGTTTCTTCTGAAATCTACAATCATTCACTTGTTTTGTCCACATTCAATGAGATTATTGTTTCCACACCATATCAAGGGGCTCACCAGCTCCCCATAATCAGCTCCTTGTCCAACAAAACATGTTATTCTTATGGAACAATCCTCTTGTTAATATTTAGCATTGCTAATGTAAAAGCCATGAAAAATAATTTTTCAGTAAAGTTGTGCAATACTGCTTATTTTGGTATCAATCAGATACCAAGTAAATATAGGGCAAGTGTCCTCAATACCTATATTAATAACAATACACTGCTGACATTGTACTTTTATATTTTTTGTGGGCTTTCCTTTGGATTGTTTTGTTTAAACGTAAGAATTTAGACACAATTTAAAGGTGACTACTATAATAACACAATATACTTATGATAAACAGAAATAATAGAAAACAAAAGGAATATGTGTGCAAAATATTATAATTAGAGAGCCAATTAAAAGGGAGAAACTATAATGCAAAAATGCAATGTTTACAAAGTGTAAAAAATCATCAAACAAAAGAAAAAAAAAATCTCATCATAAAATATAAGACCAATTCCCTGAAACCTCAATGTAGGCCCTGACCTATGTAGATGAAGTGAAAAGGGGAGGCCCTGAACCCTTTTTTGAGCTGAGACAGAGCAGGGATTGTAGCGTTGGTGACCTGGCTGTATCAGTCCCACCAGGACAGTATTGATTCAATACCAAGTTAGTATCTTTCTTACCTGTTTACTACTAGAAACTGTATTTGCATAATCATAATAAAACTATTTACTCTGTCTTGCTGCTAGGTATTTTTTTTATCATATTATCCTCTCAAAGGCTGCTTCCAAGATCCAGAACAGACGCTCTAGATGTTTCAGTTCCTCAGTTTGTATTTTGAGAAGCCCATTGGTGGATAGAGTACAAATATGTGGGTCATTGGAAATGCCAGGGTTGCAGTTCCAGTTTCTCTCTCTTTTTCCAGAAATCTGATCTGAACCTTATTTTTTGCTGCAATCATGAGTAAAATGGAGTGCCACTAGATGGCAGCCTTGTTTTTTACTCGATTTAACAACAGCTCTTGTTACTCTTGCCTTCCTCCCACCCAACCAACCAACCAAACCACCTTCTGCAGAATACCCTCCTCTCTCTCTACTGGCAGGCTGTGGGGAACCCTCAATGCAATGGTGTAAGGAGACATGTTGGAAGACTGGAAGCTTCTTCCTGCCCAACATCCCTCAGCTTCATCGATTTAACCTTTTCCCTTATTCTTTCCTAGACTT